AAGTATTGAGAGACCACTCTGTAAAGGACAGAATTATCTAACTACTTTACTGGACCTCTGAAACTACTACATAATAATATTAAATGTAAACTGTAATTAAAAAATGAAAAAATACATGTGATTTATGTAAGCATTAAATATATATAAATATATCTATATATTTATTTATATATATATATCTCAAAGAGAAGAAAACACCATATTACTCAGAAAATATTAAGGTACAGAGTTAATTTATATAATTTAATAATTAACCTAATCAATTTAACACCAAATTTTATAAATCAGCACACAGAACATTTTAAAGTTCAGTCGTTCCTTCAAAAGGCATATAGGACTGTATTCTAACTGAGGAGTCAGCAAGTGACGGCCTGCCACAGGAAGCTGCACTGAAACACAGCACAGGGGAGTGCTCTGCCCTGCACCCTGGTGACCTGCCATGCTCCACACAGGGGACCCAAGCTTTGGCAGAACGCCCCGCGATCCTCCCTGGTCATGGCACGGAGGCGGATGATGAGGAGCTGCGCAAGGCCCCTGCCCTCCCACCTGCCTCTGTTCCGGGGCGGCTGTCATGGGGTAGTTTCTCATCGAGCTGCAGGTTATAGCCCTCGGCTGCAGCACGGGCTGGATGCCCTGCATCGCGGCACCCCAGTTCTCCTGCCGCATGGCCATCTGGCCCCTTCTGTGTTGATGTCATCCTGCGGGACAAGGGACATGTGTAGCTGACACTTTTTCTGCTCCTACTTTTGTTGTCTATGAAAATAATAAACTCTGAATCTAAAAGTGTATTATAGTCCTTGGCCTGATGCATCTGGGATCTGGGAGCCTTGCTGACACACAGCCACGCCCATTCATTAAGATCTGTGGCTGCTTCCATGCTGCAAGGACAGGGTTGAGTAGTTGCGACAGAAGCCAGACAGCCTGGGAAGCCTGCACATTTTCTCATTCCTTTCGGCGGCAGTGTGCCGACCCACCGATCTAATTAATGCACAATCCTTAAAATGACTTAAAAAGTCTTCATCAAAAGCCCTTCTCCCTTCACCACCCAGGAGCTACAATCTGTCGGGCCAGTTGGAGGATTGTGGCATTTCCCTGGGCAGAACAGGGGATGGTAGTGGGGATGGGGTGGGAATAACAGCCTGATTTTTGGATGTGAGTATTACAGTCTGAGTCCTGTGACCATCATTTTCTTCCTGAAGCAATGAAATGGGGACTCTCGGCTCTCTGCCAGAGTCTGTTTTCCTGCCAGTATAAGATTATGAGGTTACGTTGGTAATTTTATCAGCAGAAATGAAGACAGTGGCTATTTTTGGCTGCTCTAGCCTGTGCATCCCTGTGAACATCGTTTTCCACTTTCAAGACCTCACGCCACTACTGGGGAGCCCGCAATGGGCACCCGGTGCACATCAGGTGGTCCCAGGATGACAACCGCTCACCCACCTGCCACTGTCATATGCTGTGCCCATATCTGGGCCTCTTCTGATTCTCCAGGTTCCTCACAGTTCAGTAACTGTTCATTCAATCTATGAAACTAATACATACATGCAGTAAATAAGTCCTAGAGCACAACCAGATGCATAGAGGAGAAAATTTCTCTTGCACTATACACTGCAGAAGTTAATAGCCCACTCTGATGAGAGATTCTTTGCATAATTTCCTAATGCTATTAATTAAATGGTTGTGCAAAAAGAGCGCTAAAATTAAAACACATATTTTTTCTTATTTTTTGAGATCAAATCTGACTAAAATATTTGTTTTAAATATTTTTCTTTCAAAACAATTGTCTCAGAAAAACAGCTCTTTGAAGTTAAAATGTTGTGCTGTTTGTCCCAAGTTACAGTGAGTCCCATGGATGGTGCAGGCCTGTGGGTGTGCAGCCTCCCTTGAGGTTCCAGGATCACCTCTAGAAAAACGGGAGAATGGAGACTCACTTTAGGATAACCAGGGGAAGCGAAACTCCTCTGGTCTTCTGGGTCTGGCAAATAAAGAGGAAACTAATGGGAAGAAGCCATGACCAGTTGTTAGTAGACCTGAGTTTGGCTGGTCCTGATATTAACTAGCTCTGGCTCTTGGGAAGTGTCACACATGCAAAATACCAGCAGCGCACAGCTGGTCCGCTCTGAAACCTGACCACTGAGCGTGAGGCCCTCATTGTACCAGAGGCAGCACAGAGGACCAAAGGTGAAGCCCAGGCTCTGGGGGCAGGAAGTCCTGGCTCTGAACCTGAGTTTCATGTCGCAGGAGCTATGTGACCTTGAGCAGGACTCCAAAAATCTAACTCGCCACTTCTTCATTTGAAAAATAGAGAAGGTATATGACTTTACTCTCAGGGTATGTGATTAAGGTGATAAAATGATTAAAGAGTGATAAAATCTAGCACACTGCCAGGTACCTAAAAGAAATTTGTGGAAATGTATCAATTGTTATCACTTATAAGCATTTTTAATAATGTGCATTGCCTTTGAAAAACAGATATTCTTAAAAATGAAAAATGTGAATATGATTAGTTAAGCTCAATTCCTCTTCTTAAACACTTCAAGATTCATTGATAAAATTGAGTTTCTAGTAATAGCTAAAAATTATATTGTACTACAAAAAATACACTTAACAAAGAAATCAGTAACCATCTGTTAGCTGTTATTCTGTTCTTATTTTGTGTACTGTTAAAGGCATATTTCTGGAAAGTTGACAGTGCTTTTGTCAAAAAAACAAAACAAAACAAAACAAAAAAACCCCCACCATTTTCTCCATATAATTCACGCCAAAAAAAATCTGGTCACAAAGATATTAGTTTCTTAAAAATGGATTCTTTTCTCCAGCTAATTTTCTCTAGGAGAAGGAGAGTAGAGAAACATATTAGAAAGAATCCAGAGAAACTCTTGAGTTTAATCTTCCTATTTTGTTTTCTCAGCTGGAACTGTTAAGGATCAGATGCAAACCACCCCCTACTGAGTGCGGGCACACAGAGACCACAGTCCGTCAGTCTGCAGAGAAGCACCTGGACAAGTAAGTAGCAGGGAGATGAAGCTCTGGGTGTAACTGAAAAATCTTCTCCCTACAGGAGCCTGATGAGGATAGACCAGTGACCTTATTTTCCTTGACAGAAAGAGGGAGCTGTGAAGTGCTCCCTGGCCACTGCACCTGGTGGCAGCCAGCTCCTGGGGATTCATGAGCAGCTTTGAAGGGCAGCTGGGGAAGATGCAAGAGCGGGCCCTGTGAGGCCTGGCTTCTGGGAGCTGATGCAGAGCCTAGCTTCCTAAATTACAAGGAGCTAAGCACATGCAACCCGGGTCCAATGAAGGAAAGCACCATGAGGGGGTGACCGGCCTCATGCTTTGCAAGCCATAACTCCTTTCTGGCACCAGAAACACCTGATATACCACACAAGCTTATGTCTTCCTGCACCTTAACCTGGATCAAGCACCCAACGAAGTCACCATTGGAGCTCAGAACTCACTGGGAGGGAGCCGCAAGACTGGGGCGCTTCTAACTGCACCCTGATTTGTGACATGTCTGCTGGCAAGACCCCAACGCTCCCTGACTCCCACTGAGCCATCAGCAACGGGGCAGAATAATTCCTGCCCTAAATTGCTCCTGCAAGGGACACAAATCCAAATTGAATCAACCATTGGTTAGTTAGGAAAAGGGTGCTATAGAAAAGCTAGTTGGTAAGGAATATCACTATTTGGTATCAATGCTCCCAATAGCATTGTTATTAGCTGGGAGGTCCCTTGTGTTACTTCTCAACACTAATACCAAAGGAGGCATCATAGTAGAGACTTCATTTTCGAGAATGACCCAGAAGGGGCTATTATAATAATGTTTATTATACCTTAAACTTTCCTTCTATACAGGAACACTCACTTTGCAGGGTGCTTTAAGTTTTGTACTCTATACATTATCCCATTTTTATTCTCCAGTAATGTGCAAGTTAGATAAGAGAGTGAGGTTTCCAGTGCTACAGTGACATGTCAAGAAACAGCACATGCAGGTCTGTGATGTGACTTCAAGCTTCTGAATCCCACCACTAGTACCACTGGGTGCCTGGTTTGAGAAAGAGTGACCTGTGTATGATGCCTGTGAGTAATATATCCAAACATCCACTTCTACCCCAATTCTGCACTGACGCCCTCTTTGGGGCACTGGAACTAGTAAGAGGCTTGATTCCTCAGAATGTTTAAGGTTAGGATATCCCAGGGGCAAGCCTGTGTCATGGGCCAGAGCACTTATGCAATACTTCAACATTACAGTGCTGGTCATGCACATAACTTTACAGTTTCCAACCACCTGGGCCTGCATTTTTCCAAACTGAACTTCGAACATCAATGTGGTCAATAAAAGACACCACATGACAGATCAGCAGATTGGCCTAAGGTGTGAAAAAAAGATGTGATGGCACATGGGTTTCCCTGCACCTGCAGAAATGCCCTTCTCCTTCCCTCCTCCCAGTGGCCTGGTGGTCCCACAACCTCAGGAGAGAGACAGCGCCCCAAGACAGCTGATGCCCAGGACAGCGCTGTGAGGACTGCCCAGAAAGATGATGCCCATTGCTCCTTCGGGTGTGTGGGTTAGCTTTGGCTGGAGGAGGACACATACTTCAAATTGTTCTGTGTCTGATACATACTGGGGTATACATAGAGAGACTGTGTACATACACACACATATTACACAACTAAAATTAAACTTGTGCTAACTTAATGCAGGAACACCAACTATCAGTGTTATCACTGAGTGTCCTAAGGCACCGAATAATTTATTATAACCCTGACAGTTGCCTGTACACGTTATAATGTGGCTCCTCCTCCACAGGTAACTGGTGGGTTATTTCCATCACAGTAAATCGGTTTGCATCAAAACTCTGCATCCTGGGACTCAGGATTCACAAGGATGTTACGGCTCTGCTGCTATTCAACCACAGGGAATTTAAAGCCCTCCAACCCCTCTGTGGGCGCAGCTACAAGGAGCACCAGTGGACAGACTGGACTCCAGGGCTGCCCTACCTGCGTGTGCGGTGGAACTGGCACCTCTTCAACTGGATCTTGGCCACATGCTCCCGCAGGCCCACGAACAGGACGCTCTGGCTGTGGAGGATCTGTAGGCTCCTGATGGGCTCCCTCCGTCTCTCGGGGAAGAGTTCGATTTCTTCCAGCAAACAGCTGCCTGAGCTCTGAGTCAGGGGCGCCCGCACCTTTTTGATGGTGCCGTAATCTGCAAAGACAACAGGGAAGGAAGGGAGTAAGCTCAGTGGGTCTCCCAGGTCACTGGGCAGCTAAGTAGCTATGGTTTCCCTCCAGCCTGGCTGCACAGAGAATCCTCTGAGGAGCTCTGAAAAATGCTGATGCCTGGGCCCCCGCCCAGACCTAGCAAATCTGCTGCACTGGATGTGGACACAGGCGCCGGCCATCTACCGCTCTCGGCGGACTTAACACGCAGCCATGGAAGGCAAGCGCGCTGCTACCATCTGCCTCATCCTGGTGCAAGTCTGGACACCAGAGCTGGCTGCAGTTCAAAGGAGCCAGCTTAGTGCCATCCCATGTGGAACATCAGGTGCCAGAAATTCTTAAGAGATAATCTTGGATTTCTAGTGTCAGACGGGCTGACTGCCTCTGCAGCAGGCAGTACCTGGCCATGGGAAACTACGCATGTCTGGGACAGCGAAGGCGGCCCCTTTTCCTTCTCTGTCTGTCTTCTTCCTCTATTTCGATCACCTCTTTCCTTTTTTCCCTCTGATGTTCTTTGGGATGCATTTCTTGGTCTCAACTCCAAAAAGTCTTATTTTCTGTACTATAAATATCCATTTCTGACCCGGACCCCTCCTATCTGCAGGTTTTCTGCTCACTGTGTATTTCTGCTTATTTATAAGCTCTGCCCAAGGAGGAGCATCCCTGAACCACGCAGACTCCTCACATTGGCTGGGAAGAGCATGGAAGAAGGGCCTTTCAGCCAGTGAAGGGCGCAGCATGGTCAATGCCATGTGTCAGAGACACAAACTTGAAATGCATGGTGTTCTCCATGGTGTGCTGCAGCGAGGCCCCAGCTACCAGCCTGCAATCCCAGGGCGTGAACCCAGCCCTCTAGAAGCGCCTCCCCCGCAGACCTCATCAATTCCTCAAATCATTCCAAAGGTACTGGCTGAATAAGACCCAGCAGGGTGCAAAGTTTCCAACATTTTTATTCTGTGCACACAGGAAATGAGGCTAGGAAGTGACCTAAAACCAGAAGTAAATGATGAACCTTTGGCACCTCCTGTTAATCATTAATCTTGGAAGACTGGATAGAAAATACTTTTCAGTTTTCTGTTTTTGTGCAAGTCTTTAGAGATGTTTTCATTTGAGAGAAAATACATATGCAGACATGTATCCTCCTGAATTTATTTAAAAACAGGTATCTGAAACATCCCCACTGAACATGAATTGATTATGAACTGACTACAATGTAATACGTGCAGTATTAATTAAACTATTGCTTAATTTTATTTTAAGCTGGTTGGTTAAATGTGTTTGAGAAAGTCTAAGTATAAAAGACATAATTATGCTGTATGCTGGGATGATTAAAAACATAGTACCTGTCTTTGAGGGGGAAAATATGTGTCTATGAGCAGAAGGGAAAGAGAGAGGAGGAGGAAGGAAGAGAGGGAGGGAAGGAGGGAGGGAGCACCTATGGAACAGGGAGGCAAGTATTTTAACAAATACACTTTATATAAACTTAGGTGAGCAAGACAATTTATATGACTTTACAGTGTAAGCCAACTTAATGTTGACTTGGAAATCGCAGTTCCCAGCTGGTGGGAAACACAGCTTCAGTGACACGGCGGTCTTCCTGCCCGGCACACTGTGGAGCAAGACTACACACACAGCACCAAGGCAGTGACGGGGACCAGAGGGGAGCTTCGGGGAAGGTGACTGACAGCAGGCATTCCAGCCTCAGCACCCCGAGAGGAGGTCCTCACAAGGGGAGGGAGGGGACAGCTTTCCTGTGGAGCAGTGACAGTACAGCTGCCCCTTGGACCTTATGATGACAGGAGACACTGACTGAGCCAGAGGATAGATAGAAGGAGGATCACCACCACCCAGTGGACAGCAAGGCTCCTGTGAGAGCTTAAGTAGAAGACTCTCTGGGCAAAACAGAGTATGCTGTAGCAATGCAGGCGTTGGGGCGGGGCAGGGGCAAAGGAGTTGGGAGTCCAGCTGGCGAATCCACGCCTCGTGTCTGATACTACACCCTTTTCATGGGAAATATGGCCAACAGAACTAAATCCTGTGCAACAGTTTGGCAAAGACGCCTTCCTGTTTCTCATTTATTTTTGATAGATTATTACTCTGAGAAACCTGCCCAAATAATAGTTCAAATGTCAATATGCGCACATGCATTTCAAACCCTTAAGCAACTGCAGATTAAAAAACCCAAATTTAAAAAGAGTTTTAATAATGTGACTTAAAAGAAATAACCACCATAGATCAAAACTTGTCAGCGTATGTGCTGCACACCTGGACTCGATTTCCAGCTGACTCGGAGGTGACAGCAGCACAGGGCTTATTCAGAGAGCGGTACTTAGTGTGGATAAGTGATGGCCTGGGTCTCCTTCCACCTCTGTGCCCCTGATCCCATGAGGCGGCTCCTGAAGCTCTCCCTCCCCTGGCACCAGGGTCGGCGCATCTGGAACACCCACCCCCACCCTACAGGCCACACACAGCATTTAGAAAGTTCCTTTGGTTTCCTTTGAAGTCTGTCCTTCCTCAGCCTGCACCTGGTTTTGCTCTGTGGCCAGAACACTTACCTTAGCATAGAAAACCTTTCCTACCTGGATGTCTCCAGAACACTCTCTCCTCTCCTCACTGAGCCTTCACCAGCAGGACACACATGTGACCACGCCCCTCTCCTGCCTCAAACCCTCTGCATGAGGTGCCAACACTGTCCCGAGTCATCCATGGGCCACGCTTGGCCTGAGCATCTCTAACCTCCACTCCCACCCCCCACCGCTCTGTACTCCAGTCTCCAGGGGGCTTGCAGCACAGAGAGCCTGCAATTGCCTTGTTCCCTGTACAGGCAGGTCCTTTGCCTGAAGTGGCCTCCCAGCCACCTTGCTCTGACTCCTGCTGTCCTGTGTCCTTGCTCAGATGGCTGACAGTCCTCTCTGTGCCCCTCTGCCCACACCCAGGCACCTGTTTCCTCCTGTGGTGCCAAGGCCCAAGTCAGGGCATTCTTTCATTACTGACTTGCCTCTCTGCGGGGAAGTCTCCCGTGGGCAGGGATGGGATCTTGTTCTTCCCATCACAGGGGCCTGGTCTGGTGACTAATCATGACGACATAGAAATTTCTAAAAAGATATAACAAATATGTAACGTCGTGTACAATGTGTTTATGGTGTGCAATGTGCTGATTTAATACACGTACATACCGCAACGATAACCGTCCTAGCACTAACGAACGCCTCTGTCATGTCACGTGATTTGACTTCAAATGGGTAAATTTGAAACACAAAAATAACCAAGGAATTCCGAGGAATATAATTCTCTTTATGATGAATTAAATCAAACAAAGAAAAAGAAAGACTGATAAGACTCTATTTCAGAAAAAGATGGGTAAAGGAGTGGCATTTCTGAGTCTCCCAACACCAATGGAATGCCACTATACTGAAGTAGATACTTCATCAGGAGCTCTTTGGGGAGGATGCGCGGAACCCCCACCACCCAGCACCTTGACTGGTAGGCGGTGAATCAGACTTTTTATGTTCCATCGGGCTCTGGTCCCACGTTCTCCCCTCTATACACAACGCAACGTTGAAGCACACTTGCTCTGGAACTAGGATGCGGCAAAGTCATTGTTTCTTTTAGTGTCAGAAAGGCAGGGCCCAGATCATGAAAAAGACCAATGAACAAACATCTATTTCTTTCACACAACAGTGAGAGCTTCAGAGCACTTTACTTGTTGTTGTTCTTTTTGCTTTATAACATTTATCACAGTCTAATGGTTAATTTACTTGTTTCGCGGCTCCTACACTTCATGTTAAGTCCATGGGCCCTTCATCAGTAGGGCCACCTCGAAAGTGAATCATGTACCATCATTTTGTTTTCTATACTGCAATTTCAAAGAGTCACAAAACATTAGAGTTGGAAGGGACATACAAAAACATTTTGAATTTGGCAGGTGAGAAAAGCAAAGCCCAGAAAGGTTGAGTTACAAAGATCAGACTACTGGGCCCAAATTTAGGTCCTCTTCATATCGATTAAGGGCTGGTTTCTAAATCTTCAGAGGAATTTTTGTTTTGAAAGCATGTAAAGATAATATGCAATTCCAATAAGGATGAGTCAGTAATTGCATAGCTGCGGATTTCCTAAAAGATCAGGCAGACAGATAAAATTGTATTTGATGGCAGTTGTTATTCAAGGCAAAAATGAAGCCTGATTTATACACATGTGTTTATCTTATGGAATTCAAAAGAGATAATTAATGTATAAGTGGGGCCAAGCCCAGGACAGAACTGACTTCTCTATCAGGCTAAGGCTCTCATTTTCACTAGCTCGGGAAGCAACAAGAAATAGTCTAATGAAAAATACCTTCTATTTCAGTTCTGGTTTTTGTTTTTTTTTCCCAAGAGAATTAAGGTGTCAAAAGATTTGTTTAAATGAAAAAGTTTACAATTAAAATAAGAACCTCAAACCACTAATTGCTGTAGGTAATGTAAGCTCTGTCTTATGTAAGCTGTCATGCACATAATGCAGTTATTAGTTGTTGAAAATTAACCGTTTGTTTGACTTTGGGGGAAACTACCAATGTTCAGTTTGCTAACAAACATGAATTTAGTAGTTTTGGCAAGATTATATTACTAATCTTGATAGAGATGATCAAGTACAACAGTCCATCATTTGCTGTGCAAATATGCCTTATAGTCAGATAGAGATTGCTATGGGTTCCAAGTTCGTATGTTGAAGTTCTAACTCTTAGTACCTCAGAATGTAAATATTCTTAGCTCAGGGCCCTTAATGTAGCAATTAAGATAAAATTAAGATTAAGAGGTCATATAAGGGGTGCCTGATACAATGTGACTGGTGTCCTTAGCAGTAAAGGAAATTAGGATATAGATAAGTGCACCCACAGGAGAGAACACATTGAGAAAACAGGCATCTGCAGGCCAATCTGGGAAGCCTCAGAAGAAACCAGTGCTGCCGACACCTTGACCTTGGACTTCCAGCCTCTCGAACTGTGAG